AGGCAGCAAAACAGTTAGATCCAAGGTGGAAATAGGCATTGAATCCTAATAAATAAAATATATTTTGCTTGGAGGGAGGACTATACTTTTGGTGGGTATTTTTCATTTAAATACCACAAAACATTTACTTTTATCTTATTAAAAAATATTTTAGGATTCAATGAAGACGTTTTAGACACAGGCCAGAGGAAGTGTATTTCTTAAGTGGTGCTTTGTTCTGAGTGTAATGACACGTCAAAGGCTTTCATGTCTCTGGACTTTTGTCTATGTCCAACCGAGAAAAGTGTCCAATTATCAGTATCTATTTTTGTCATTGGAAATAAAGCTTTCTTTGCACTGTAAAACAAAAAAAGAAAGAATAAAAGAAACAACCCCAGATGGCCCCCAACACTGAGTAGCATGTCTACTTGGGATTAGTGAGACATATTTCAGAGTTGCTCAATGCCTTGCAAAGGCAATACATGACATCAGCTCAGAAAACTCAACATCCAGTTCTCTCAGAACAGATCATTTCTCATCTCTGGTAGAACATGGCCGTTATGCAACAGTCTGGACAACAAGTCTGCGCCATGATTCCTCATGTCATCGCTGGGAATGAGTGTGAAACTGAAAGAAACATACTTTCCCCCAAATGGGATGTAAAACACTCTCTTTCCGAAATCTTTTATAACCTCGATGAACATGGAAAGCTTTTTTTTACTCTTTCACTTAACAGCTAAACGTTGCAGAACATTTCCCCTCAGATTTCAAGTCTGTAAAACGCTTGTAAAAAGTATGACAGCGAGGGCTTGTCATTATCCAGTTATGGCACATAGGCTGTTCTGCACATTCCCTTCTTAGTTTCTGTATTTGTCTCACGTTTAATGATAGTCAAATAAAATGCGCATTGCACTACAATATGTAAAAACAATAACATCAAATATAAATCAATTAAATATATATAATTAAATAAATAGAAGTTAAAGCAATATATAACAGTGCTGTATTCAAAAAGTAATGTATTATATATATATAACAATTTTAATTATTGAGGAAAACCAGATTATTGCTCGAAATGAATTGTGTAATACAGAAGTAATGCAAAAGTGATGTAATGTTTGCACAGTGGAGTAAATGCCTGGATTGTGCTGACAAGTATAGTCCGTATTTCACTCTTTATTATGTTTTGTACGTGTTATCAGCAGGAACAGTCTGCCACTGTATTGAATATTTCAGTTTTGAAAGGTCCGTTGTTAATGTTGCCTTTGCTTGCTTTATGTTAGCAGCAGTCCATCTTCCATCTGGTTTCTGCAGTGCTATAAATAACTCCCTGCAGCCCCTTGTTTGAGAGGTTGAAGTGTCTTGGGCCAGCAGGTCAAGCTGCCACATATGATGGCGCTCGTATGTCTTGCAACACTTGTGTGTTATTTCTGTTTTCTGGCCCCTGGCAGTTTGGGGGACATTTTTGTTGCAGCATCGCAGAAGAGAGCCCAAAGTGTTGGAACAGCTGAGCATAGCCAGACATATCTCAGATCAGCCAGTCCTATCAGTCAGTCAAGTGGGATCATCCTTGACCATCTAATATCTGCACTTCAGCTCCACCCGCCTGAAAAAGACGCCCATTGTGTCTGAGAACCCCTCACATTAGTGTGGGTGTGTGACATCACCCCTTCCCCTCCCTCCCTCCCTTTTTCCTTTTAATGCGTCACACCAATCAGCGCTCAGGGAGACTCGGTCACGTTAGAATCCCCCCCCCCCCCCCCGGTATTGGTTGCCATGACAACGAGCACCGGTCCAGGCAGCATCTTGCTGTGGTGAGAGAGAAAGGAGGGAGAAGGCAGGAGGAGAGGCTGGGAAAGGGAGGGAGGAAGATAGAAGAAGAGAACAAACCCCAGCCAAAGGAATACCTTGTGCCTGTCTTCCCTGTGTACAGTGAGTACTCTGCCTTTGTTGTCCTCAGCTTTATGATAGGCGAATGAATGGAGATCTGATGCAGCCTGTTGTCATCTGTCATGATATGGCACATGCCTTTGAAGATTTCTGGGATGACATAACATCTGATTCCTTTGTTATGATGGGAATGTGTGCAGCATGCCTCACCTTAGGTAGACAGCCCTTTGTCTGCATGCTTCAGCCACTGATCGTCAGTGAATGGCTGATGACAAACCTCTGTGGGGAACAGAGGCGTGGTGGGAACTAAGGTGCTCAGTGCAATTAGAGGCGGTTTCATGGCGAAACTCTCTCTGATGTATTGTGCGCCGGCAGCGAGCCATCCTGCTCCTGATCCCAGTTTTTTTTTTTTTAGCCCTTCCAAGTCTGCCTCCCATTCGCTCCGTCTTTTTCACACAAGCAGACCTTATTTGACATCCTGCGTCCCCCTTGCGGTTTGTTTCATTAGCAAATCCAACTAGGACAGCTTGTTCTGATTGGAGAACTCATATGTGGAACGTCTTTTTAGTGGTGGACAGTAAAGCCTTCCTGGCTGCAGTCAAAGTATTTTAGTTTTTACTGAGCCACGGTTTGAATCACATAAGAGGTATCGCAGAAAGAGATGTGACTATGCTAATGTTTTCAATTACATAAGAAAGTATATTATGCCCATAACCTTAACTGCGGATTTCTTTTCCACCTTTTGACTGATTTTAACTAATTTCTTTAATGATAAGGTTGGGGAATCCCTGTTTTGAGTTGAGCAAATTACAGTTTTTATGCACTTAGCTATGCAAAAGTACAGAGCCCAGTTCATATGCTACAGAAGGAAGTGAGAAGATTTATGTTTTTCACTCCCCTGAAAGAATGCATGACATAACCCTCATAATAAGCAAGTCTGGAGCTATGATTATTTCATTTTTAAAGACAGCCATGCCTGCAAACTACAAAGACTACGGAAGGGGCTCTGGCTGAAATGTGTGGGAAGTCATCATAGGAAGCAACATTATCAAATACAGACACAATAGGAGCAAGAAAGAATATGGTCAAAAAGAGATGCTAAACAACTGCAAACATATGTGAAAGAAAACCACAAATGTACCAAAAAGGTTCACAACAAGGCCACAAAGAGAGGCTGAACTTTTACATAGAAACAAAATGGCAAAAAAGAGACAAAAAGACCATATCTTGTTTTTAGGAAATATTGGGAGTCTTTACATGTCTTGGCCAGGGTCCCACTCCCATATTTGTCACCACTAATCCAAGTATCTATTATACTATGTATAGTCGTGGCATATGGTGCCGTATTAAAAACATATTTCTGTATCTCTTCTCTTAACTATAATCCAATTAAATATCACTGGACCTCTCCCCTCTTATGGCAGAACAGACGTTTTGCTTTGAACACTTTTAAATACTTGATAAAGGGTCTGTAAAATATTGTAACAGCTGATCTTTCCACGTGGCTGTCGTCAAGTGGAAGTTTGCACAACATCTTTGTGAGGGATTACATCTGCCACACGTGTCTCTGTGATGTCTCAAAAAGCAGCCACACAGGCCTATCTGTCCAGTGACAGGAGACGACAGGGAGGTGTCCGCCTTGCTGGATGCTCGAGAGGGAGAGACCGACTCTGTATTTTGCAGAGGGCTGATAGAAGCAGAGGGGTTCCTCCTTCCAGCATCGGCTTAGAAGATGATCCATGTTGTCATGAGTGATCATATTTTGAGATTTCTTGATTTTTGTTAGCCTTTGATCCAGTTGCTGGCAGAAGCACTTTGGAATCGGCAGTGACTTTGATAGTTGAGAGAGTTTTACGAAGAGCCTGCATGCCATTGACCTTTCATTTTAATCAGCCAAGACACTTAGGATAATCATTACAGCTTCTAATACATTCTTTGGATGTGCAGTCTGGGTTGCTCTGATGTGTACAATATGTTTCTGTAACATGAGTATAATCTTGGATTATGTCGTGATCAGGACAAAGCAAAGCAGTGTATCAGCGATGCATATTTCTGTCTGTGGGAAGCCGCCAGAGACCCACTAAACTGTTTTTCATGTGATCTTGGCATTTGAAGGCGATTGTTTGAAACTTGTAATTGTCCCAACTTGTAATCTTAAGTTGTTTTCCACCAAGGCAAACTTCAGCAATTATAAAACCCACTGCGCTATCCATTTCTATTCTTTGTTAGAAAACAAACAGAAAGGGCTGTGTTGGAATTCAATGGGAATGGTGTTTTTCAAGATTCCATACAGTGAAAAAGACACAGACACACAAACTCAATTGTAACTTATATTTCCTTTTAATGCTGCCTATACTAATTTTACAGTGGCCATGTAAAATGAATGGGTGCCCCAAACAACGTGCTCATTGAATTACTCTGATAACTCAATAAACAAATCAGCCACTATGTAAAGTCAGGAGTCCATGCAATGTTTTTTTTAATAAATCCTAGAAAGACTAAAGATATGTTTTTCATAGAATTAGATTTTTGAAATCTACTTGACTGTAAACAGTAATTAGTGTATCTGTGCAATCATTACTCTTGATAATAATTCGTCATTAAGCCCTCTTAAGGGTAATCAGTTGTTGACTATTATCTGTCATAACGTCTCGTGTCAGGTGAAGTCAATGTTTATTTAGGGTGCACAACCACACACATCATATCAAAGAATACTTTACAGTAAATGAGAATTGTTGTAAAAACTCAGCTACATGTAAATACCCGCCAGCCTTCTCCTGTTGTGTAAACCAGTTCTAATGTTTCTGACACCATTGAATGCAGCAGCACTGTTGCGTCACTTTAGAAGAGACCAATCGGATTAAACCGAGTTAAAAACGTGCAGGCTCACTCCAACGTCTAGCGGGGGGTTTATCATCTAACTATTTAAATATATCCAGATGTATGCAAACATTACAAAGTGCTGTCCCAATATACATGTCTGTCTCAGTGTCGTTTTCCAACGAATTACGGGGAAATTAATAACCTAGCAATGTTTTGTTAACATATTATTAGTTTTAGACTTGTTCGCTCCCCCCTCCTTGCCGTTGTGATGGTATCGACCGATCCCCCTCTGTCAGTTTCAAGTTGCGCCTTCTCCTCTACTGTGTGGCTCCTTGCTCTGGCCTTAACGAGCATTAGCTACTTAAATAATAGACAACAACAGTGAATTCGGGAATCGGGATACAAACACGAACATGGATTTATTCCCGCCACATTATACGAATGGATTATAAACGCACAGGATTCCGTGGTAAGAAGAACTGTTCCCCCTGAATCCCTTGACAAACACGGTGCATTTTGAAACGTTACCCAAGGACTCGCAGACTGCACCTCTGCACGTTTGGGAATGTCACGGTCTGCTGGTTTAATAGAGCCACTGACGATTTAACTACGCAGTACTGTAATATATCTGACATTTGTATCTGCATTGTACCATGCACTGTGATTGTGCATCAGTGGTTATCTGCCAGCCCCGTTTTTAATTCAGTTTAGCTATCAAGCTGTTCTGTACATGTCGGAAGGAATAGCCTGTGGAATGTGGTGGATGGTGGCAATATGTACTCCCAATCATTTATATTGAAATATCTTCATCCTTGACACAATTATGAAGTTTAAAAGCCTTTAATCTCTGGAAGTTTGTCCTTATTCTTTTGTCAAAATTGATATGGCCACAATACGGACACAATACGGACATGCCTCATTCAAACAGCTCGACATCTATGTCATAACTGAACAACAGTTTATTATATGTACTTGTGTTAACTCGTAGGAGGGAATAGCATTTGTTATGGTACTTCTATTGACCACATTTATATTTCATAATTGTATACAACATACCTGCTTCCAATGTGGAGTTAGAAGCTCCTGATGTTTAAATCTAGTAAAGGCAGTGTAAAAAAGTTTCTAGTTGAAGGCTGACAGTGTGACTTTGACATTTTCTTCTTTCAGTCTTCTCTCTCTGGTGTGTTTACCCAAGAGGAAAAACTGTATGTGTTTTTAGATGAGTCACAAACTGAATAATGCTTTATATTCAAAGCAAGGAAATACGCAATCTGTGTTGATGCTTATACATTTTAAGGGGATGTTGTTTTGATGCACCTGACTTATTCCCAGAGGTATTTTGTCTTGTACTACAGACGTCTGGCACCATGTTATGAGTCAAAGGTCACTCGTCTGTTTTTAGTGTTTGAGTGACTGCACACTGACTTCAACAACAGTAACAATACCATATTATTCCAGCTGACCCAGATTGGACCATACATCATCACATAGCAAGACTCAGAGTGTGGCTTAGTGTATCAGTAAGATCCTGACAGGGCAAAGACTCTTATCCTTGTCTCAGTAGAGTGATGAGCCATTGTTGTATTGACCAGTTATATTGACCTTTGTTGCTTTCGATGTACCTCCCTTATTTAGTCAGAATGCGCTTCGATGACTCTGTGAGGTCACAGGGTGTTGCTGGGAGGCAGACGTTCATTGGGATGTGTGACATGTTTTATCATACCTCACAGTGTCCCTGTTAAGAGATCAGGATGCGGTGGGAAGAGGATGTTTGCAGGGTGGCTGACTTGGCACAAGACAAAACTTGAGGGCTGGTTGTTTACTTGGATGTAAGGACAGATTTGCGTCAGTCTTGATATTTTGTCAGGCTTGCATTAAACAAAGTATTTTTGCGTATTTACACTTTCGTAGATAGCATTACAATTACATATGACAATCATTGCATGACAATATTGGATATGTGATGAGGTATCTTACTTTTACAGGTCTTTTAATGGAATGGCCAAAAATAGATATTCCCATCACAGTTTTGGAATTTAATGTTCATAATGTCTCCGCTTTGAACACCAGGAAAAGCGCTATATAAATAACATGTATTCTTATTATTATAATAATATGTACTTTATCAAATATATATTAGTATTGTGGCGCACAAAATCTCCGATGTCCGATTATTTTCTCCTAGTTTTTTTTTCAACTTCTAAATCAGACATAGATGCATTGCAATTCATTAATGATAATAATAAGTCAGGTCTTATTCCCATTGGTCTATGTCCATTTCATCCTGTTTCGGAAACGGAACACCATTTAAGTGCTCGTCACAAAATGGACTAATCTAATGTCTCATCCTAATTACCATGGAACCATTTTACATAAATGAATGAAGCTCAAACTCATCAATGCCATTTTCTGCCCCCCCACGATCCAGCAAATACCACAAACCTAGAAGCGCATTGCTAGATGAAAGGACAGAAGGAAGGTCCTCGTAAAAAAGCAGCTCCTGCTGTGTCATGAGCGGCTGGATGTACCCCGAGTCAGGTCGGGTTTAGCCTCTGTTGCTCTGGTTGACTCATCAAAAGCTTGCTGATGTCTAACCAACATGCATATTATAGTCTGCTTCAGTAAATCCTTAAAAGGAGTCTGTAACTAGATGCTAATGGCATGTTTTTAACTGTTTGAGGGATGTGTTCTGCAGCAAGCACTTAATGTAAGAACATTTTAGTGCTGGAGGACAATCAAGGCAAGGCAAGTTTATTTATATAGCACTTTTCAACACAAGGCAATTCAAAGTGCTTTACAAAAAATGAAAGACATTAAGAAAATGGCATTTAAAATCAATCACCCTTTTTTCCCCCTTCAACTGTGTCCTATTATTCAATGATGTCATGTGGAGATTAGCATATTCCTGAAAGTTGAGTCAGCTAGACATTGTAAAACCCAACTCCCTGGTAGAAGCCATTAAGATATCATCCAGATTAGGGAATGGGACATTTTCAGATGTATTTTATTCTGAAAACAGTAACATACAAAAGAGAAGGTTAATGAATTGATTTCTATCCTGCCTCAATACCAAGACCTTATTGAACTTGCTATTATGCAGATCCAATTTGGAGGACGAACAGCAAAGCTGAGGTTAGCTTAGGTTGATGTTGTGTGTATGACTTGCAAATATGGCCCAAGTCCATTTGCCTTTGTGATTTCTCTTAGCTCCGGATTAAAGTCTTACTTGTTGGCTGTTTCTTGTACCTTGCAGGTCAGACAAAGGCCAGTGTGACAAATGCATTCCTGAAGCAAATTAGACTGTTTACATTTTTCCAGTCAGCTGACCCTTGAACACTACAGCAGATTCACGCTATCTTACGTTGTTTAATGTATAATGGGACTTGTATTCAAAACCCAAGTGTACAGAAGTCTGGTACAAAATGATTGTTTAGTTTAGCATTATCTAACAGTTTTTCTAGTGAAGCTGTAATAAAACCATGTACTAGATTAACAGAGCTTGGTTGAGCATTAGTGACTCATGAATTTCAATCTGTACGTGATATCTGTCATGTCTCAAATGATATCCACCAAAGTTCCAGTGAACTCGAGATGATTGCAGGTTAATTGTCTTATTAAATGGAACTTGCCCTAAAAGTGACCAACTTTACACTACCTGACCGGTTCCCTGTAGCTATACATAGTAAATGTACACCAAGCAACTAGCATACTAACAAAAACACATATTTTAACTATTTTGCTTTGGTATGACAGTTTTCTCTGGCAGCTCCTCCCCTGCCCCCCATCGTCTGCACTTTAAACATTACATTGATTCTTAATAAAATGTGTTTATTATACAAAAATTCCAATGTGTGGAGATATTCCTGACATAATTAGGGTATAACACAGCCAGAAAACAGAATAAATCATGTAAAGTGGCTTAAAGAGCCTGTGACAGCCTCCCAACAACTGTTGTGCAATGAAATATTGGGCTACTAGTCATCTCGAACCGTCAGTTTAAAAAAGAAGTTGCGATACCGTTCCGATAAATATCAATAATTTCGAACATCGCGGGGAAATTCCTTCGACTCATTTTGAAGTTTTGGGGGAAGCCGGAAGTGACGTCAATGCGGGAACGCTTCACTGTGCGGCGAGAGAGCCAAACACGGACAAAGTGTGTTGTCATGCGTAGAAATGGTGAATTACTGAGTTTAGGCACGTTAATAACGTTTTAATGAAGTTGACTACAGTATATTCATATTTATTAGTGCTTTCATGTCAATTCGGCGAACACATGATACATTAAATGATCGTGAGAATGATGATTTAAAAATCTTTTGTTTGAGCCGGTCTACATTTCCTGATGAGAAAACAAAACGATGCTTTCTGTAGTTGTAGTACAGCAACATGGATTAAACGTGTGGTTTTTTTACCACAATGTTGGGGAATTTAATGGATAAAATGCACGGATTATTATTATTATTATTATTATTATTATTATTATTATTATTATTATTATTATTATTATTATTCCCACTCCGATCGGGACACTAGGTCCACCGTTTCCCCGCAGCGAGGCTCCCCCGTTGACAGTTTACGTGGACTGGGCTGGGTGTAGTGGCGGACTGGCCATCCGGACGAATCCTGATGGGACGGTACCGAAGTGGGCCGGTCGGATAAGTCACTAGCACATCCCCCACTCCCCCCGTTGACAATTTACTAGCGGTACCGAAGTGGGCCGGTCGAGAGTCCCGGGATGATTTTTAGTCCCAGTCCACCACTGGCTACATGACCGTATGATCGCCCATATTGACGCACCTAATTCCTAAACTTCTAACAGATACAACATAAACCGATCCTTCAGCCTCATATGAGCTCTCAGACACGTTCAAAAGTAAACTGTCATCGCTGTCTGAGCTTGCTGCTGTGTGCACCATCGTGCGTTTACATGCAGATGCTGGGTTCCTGAACGGTGCAGCTGGAGCGCTGTGCCCGCAATGACGTCACACATAATTTGGCGGGACTTGAAGAATCCCCGAGAAGATCCAGGAAATGGTCAACATTGAAGGGCAGATTAATGGTTATCAAAGTACAAATATCCAAAATCAGTTCAGTAACGGTTTTCAAGGGGACAATATTTACTCAAATTGATGGGTTTGGATGATGGGGGAAACTCGTGTCACAGGCTCTTTAAGTAGCTGAGTTTTATGCTGGGTTAAGGACCTTGTCGTCCCCTGTCTTCCCCTTTTCTGTCAATCTTTTGTTTTGTCAAATAAATAGCAAGTCCAGCAAAATAAAAAACTGGCTAATGTTGTCAGTATGCCTCTGCTACCTATCCTTTTTTTTCAGAAGTTAGTGGACACCATTAACCAACACCTCACATGGGATCCTTAGAAAAATTATACCCTTTTTGTTTACACTATAGACAACATGGAGCACTACAGCCCACATGTGTTACTAAGCAACAGGCAGGTGTAGCCGGAGAACTAG